TCAAAGATCCTGCTCTTTGTGGCTCTATTTGCTTTCTCACCCATCTTCCCTCAGTTGTTTCATTCTTAAAAGGCACCACTATCTAATATCCTGAGTCAAGTGTTGGTGTGATTTGAATACTGCCGTCTCTTCTCAGGATTACAATCAAATCATACTGTAATAATGGAATGTTTAATGTTCTGATTCTAAGGTTGTCAGTTTTCTCTTTAGGGGGCATCTGGAGCATCTGTGTTATTAATTCTCACATTTTGGTCATGTGCAATATTCCCTTCCTCACAGGTGGTATTGTGAAGGTAAGGAGCTTGAAAACTCCCCAGACGTTCATATTGTCCAGGCAGGAAATCTACACACACTGACTATTGCTGAAGCCTTTGAAGAAGACACAGGACGTTATTCCTGTTTTGCTTCTAACATCTATGGGACAGATTCAACTTCTGCTGAGATTTATATAGAAGGTAAAGCAAAAATACTCTTGGAGCATGGCCTTTACTGGTAAGACATATAGTTAAATATTTATTGAGGTCTTACTCTACCACACATTCTTGTATGCAGTGGGGATAATAGCAGTGAAGCTAACGGACAAAAATCCCTAGGTTCATGGACAGATGGAATTTTCATAGTAGCAGATGAGACAGAAAATAAATGATATAAATAAATAAAATATAATAGAAATGTGAAATCGTTCTGATTGCTAGTTCTAATGTATGTGGTGGGGAAGGGGAGCTTCCCACACCACTAACAGGCAATTCTTCAGGACACTAGGTGGGTGTCCTGCAGTTCAACTGAATTCTGACACCATCTCCCTGGAGATAATGTCAAATGCAACAAATTACATGCTCAGTCCTGTGACTGCACCCACCCCACTTCAGATGCCAATCATAAGTAATAGGTCTCCAGATTACCCACAACTTCTGTCTGTCTTGGCTACAAATCAAAGGTTCCCAGGACTGTCTCCTCCAATTTAATTTCTAGAGTGGCTCATCGACCTCAGGGAAACACTTACTGATGTTTACCAGTTTACTAAAGGATAGGATAAGGGATACAGATGAATGGTCAGATGAAGAGATACCTAGAGCAAGGTTTGGAAGGGTTTCAAGCACAGGAGCTTCTGTCCCTGTAGAGTTGAGGTGTGTCATCCTCCTGTTGGATACATTCGCCAACCTGGAAGATCTCCTAACTCTGTACTATTGGGATATTATGGAGGCTTCCTCACATAGGCATGATCAATTATTAACTCCATTTCCTTTCCCTCTCCCCTCTCTGAAGGATGGGGGATGGGGCTGAAAATCCCAAGCTTCTAATCACACTTGGCCTTTCTGGTGACCAGCCCCCATCCAGGAGCCATGCAGAGTCATCTCATTAGGACAAAAGATGCTCCTAATGTGTGGGGGGTTTTTTTAATTGAAGTATAGTTGACATAATATGTTAGTTTCAAGTGTTTGACATAGTGATATGACGTTTATATACATTATGAAATGCTCATCGCAGTAAGTGTGGTTACCATTTGTCACTATACATCCAAGTGCTCTTATCATTTAGGAATTTACAAGAGTTTTAGGAGCCCTGTGTCATGGATGGGTCAAAGACAAATATTAGAACAAGAGATGCTCCTAAATGTTCATCACTTAGGAAATTACAAAGGTTTTAGGAGCTCTGTGCTAGGAACCAGAGACAAAGACCAATATATATATTTTCTGTTATCTCACAGTATATATATAAGCACTATGGGAGAAATGGGAAGCAAACAAAAGGGACAGGAAGTATGTGTATGTGTGTGCATGTGCACGTGTGTGTGGGTGTGTGTGTGGGTGTGTGTGTAGATATGGTGATGAGGGAAGACTTCACTAACCAGGTGACACATGAGCAAAGACTTGGAGGAAGTGAAGTGAGTCGCAAGGATATCCAAGGGAATACACTCTAGGCAGAGAACTGAGCAAGTGCAGTGGCCCTAAGGTGGCAGTGTGCCTGTCTTAAGGTGCAGAGATGAGCCCGTGTGACCAGGATGGAGTGAGCAATGTGACATGATCTGACTTAGTTATGAACAGGGTCACTCTGGCTACTGGTTGAGAATATACCACAGTGAGTCAAGGGTAGAAGTAGAGAAACCATTTGGGAGCCTTGGAAAGACACTTACATCAGCACCAAACTTATATGACTGATTTTGGAGAAGATAGCAATTTATGTTCCTTATCTATCTACCTAAGTTTTTGTTCCTGTTTACCTCATCCTCTGAGTTTTTTCTGGAAACCATTCTTTAGCAATTTTATCACCTATAATGCTTTAAGTGTACCTTAGTTTTAGCACTTAAACATATTGTATTGTTTAGAATAAATGACCAATTAGATTGTAAGACTGGATGTTTCATTCTTCTTTGTATCTTTTATACCTTTATATAGTACCAAAGACATAGTGGATGAACTTTATAGTGAAGTTTATACTTGATAAACATTTATTGAATAGATGCATGAATAATGATAATAATAATGAATAATGCATGTCTATATTGTCTGTTTTTATCCTCAAATTTTTGGAGTACAATAAATACTTCCAGATTTAGCTCTGCTATGTCTTCCTGGAATTCACTATCTTAAGTAAATCCGGGAACAAAGCTCTGCTAACAGTGCTGAGATTGGATGGTTGATTTTTTTTTAATTGGTGACAACAGAGCTTCAAACACCCCCACCTCCAAGATGAAGTATGACTTGTTAATATTAGGACTGGACGGAAGGGCATCCACCTACACCTACAGGGTGTGGAATTCAATGTAATCCCCTTTTTTATTTAATCTGTGTAGGCCAAGAGCAAGAGGATTTATGGATACCACAGAATGTCTACAAAGACTGATTTGTTACTCCAAAGGCATCAGCAGGTGTTTTACATACAAGAGCTCTTGGAATTTGGGCTAGTGAATTTGAACTCTATCACTAACTAGCCATGTGACCTTGAGCAAGTCCTTCAATTATTTAGGGTCTATTTCCTTATCTGTAAAATTAGGTATTAGTGTAGGGAATCAATGAGTTCATTTCTAGGTCTAAAATTCTGTAGGTCTTTAAATTTTAAGAAATTTGAAATTTAAGAAATTATCATCTTAAAAATTTCATGTCTTGTTTTTATTTTTCCAGGGGTTTCTTCTTCTGACTCAGAAGGGGACCCTAACAAGGAAGAAATGAATCGGTAATTCTAATTTCCTATCTTCTAGCCTTGGCATCTTCAAATCCTGAGAAAGCTTCTAGTTGTTCAGGAGAACTTGAGAGGGTGGCTCCAGGATATGACCTAAAAAAAAAAAAGAAACGATTGGGTGGCTTTGGAGAAAACTTGTTTTGCTTAAGTCTTGCCTACATATTAATTTTAGTGTTCTTGATATTTTTTAAATGAGATGTTGCCTATGAAAAACTTCATACTTATATCTTCAGAGTAAAAAACAAAGCAGTGGTTCAAAAAAAATTCATGCTTTCTGACTAGAAAAATTCATACTCATAAGAACACAAAACCTGGAGACCTTTAATTATATATATGAGTGATCTGGACAAGTCATAACCTCTTTGCTAAATAATTGTATTGACTACTGAAAAAAGTTCACTACTTTCCATAGCCATTGAATAAGCACCTACTCTAACACCAGGCACTTTACTAGATGAAATGGGTATTAAGAAAAATCAGAGGCTTTCTGCCTTGGAGAGTGCACAGTCTAGGAGAGAAAAATATATAGCAAACATAACAAGATATATATATCAAGAACATAGACAGTAAGAGTAATAAAGTGTAATAGACTATGATATAAGCATGTGTGCAGGATATATAGGACTTGACACAAAAGACCCTCTTGGCTGTGGAGGGAAAAAGAGCTCAGGAAAGGCTTCACAGAATAAGTGACATTGAGCTGCGTCTTGAAAGAACAGAAGGTAGACACCACCAAACAAGAATGGAGAGGGCGTTTCAGGCAAAGAAGGAGGCAGACACAAACAATGGGAACTGGAAACAGATACAATAACCTTTCCTGAATCCCAAGCTTAGTTGAAACAAATGTCAGTGTTTGGGAAACTGGTTAGAGTTGTTAACCGTCTCTGAACTACAACCAGTTATTCTCTAAAAGATAATTCTGATTCTGTCATTTTCCTGACTTAAAAAATGTATTGTCTGTGGGAAAATAAAAGTCAGACACAAAACAAACAACTTTAAAAAAAAATCTTAACATGGCATACAACAAAGCCTTACTCAGTAGCATATCAACCAGTCTCCCAACCACCACCTCAGCCAGCCAGCCTCATTCCCCCACCTCAGGCTCTCTATGCTGTTGCCACCTCACTCAAACAATATGTGGTTCTTTTCACTCCTTTGATCAAGCTGTTCAGTTTGCTAGGAATTCCCTCTCTCCTTCTCTGCCTGGCAAACTCCTATTTATCCTTCAAAACCCAGTCAAGTTGTAATGATAAACTCCTCCTTCAAGTTCTATGATCACTCCTTCCTTAAGGCTCTCATACATGGGTTACAAGCTTAATGGGTATAAATTTTGGTATATAGACTTTAATAAGCAAGAAAAATCCCATTTAGTTATTTTCCTTAAAGATTTTTATAATAGTTAGGAATTAGCTTCAATTGTATATCACAGAGACCCAAAACAGTAATATAGACAGGTATTTATTTTTTGTTCACATAAAAATGGATTTGGCTGGGAAAACGGCTCTGCATTCCACTGGGTACCAGTCTTCTTCAGCTTTCTGCTTCATCTCATTCTAAGGTGTGGTCCCATCTTCTTAGTCTAAGACTGGAAGGAATAAAGGGCATGCTCTGCCCCCTGTTAAGGTCATCTCTCTTAAATTTCGTTCATCACTATCCCTCCAATCCCATGACCAGAACATAGTCATATGCACCACACCTAGGTTGGAAAACGCAGTCTTTATCTGAAGTAAACATGTGAAGAAATCAGGTATTCTACTATTGTATCGAAAGAAAACATGCTTAAGGGACACTGACAGCCTCTGCATTGCCACATAATCTGCCTCTGAGACCCCCATACTGCCTGGCTGGGAAAAACTTCAATCAATCGTCATTCGGTGTCCCTTTCCCCCTCCTTTGCTGTGCAAAGATCCCTGTAATATAGACATAGGCATAGATAAAGATGCTGGAGATACAGGTATAGGTAGTTTGATAATGAAATACTGCTCTAGGCATCTTACACGAGTTACCTTGTTTAACCCTCACAAAAACCCTATGAGGTAAGAATTATTATTTCCCCATTATAGAGATGAGGAAGCTGAGGCAAAGAGAGGTAATATCTGGACAAAAGGGAAGCCCATCCTATCGTCGTTCACCTATCCACACAGGTGATGCGGGAGAGGCCCAGGTCCTAGACCTCAGTGTTCCTTCAGGTCTTTGCTTTGTTCCCTCCTGACATGCTTTGGTCCTATTATTTATAGCAAGAGCGGGAGCCCTTCAACTAGTGCTGTCGCCATCCCCTCTGGACTCAGGTTCTCCCTCTTTTCAGATTCTCTAGCAAGATGCACAGCCCTTTCTCTTCTCCACAACAAAATGAAAATAATGTCCCCTCTGCAGCCTTTTCGATAATACTTCCTGGTTCTCTTACCCTTTCGAAGGTCTCTTTAATTTAGTTTGTATAAACTTGAAGAGCTCGTTAACTCAGGCTATTATCTGATTTCTGCCATGCCAAAACTCCAGAAGCAATACAAAGCCTGGCCTCTTACCTGAAATGGGAAGGGAGGGAAAACACAGAGGGCAACAATGAAACAAATCTCAAAAAATTATCTCCTGCACATGCTCTGTCATGCACGTGTCTTGAATCTCAGTCAGTTGTGAAAATGCTCAAGTTCCAGCTCTGCTGAGAGCACCTAACTCAAGGACAGGAATGACATCGTATCATCTTCTTGTTTAATTGTCTAACAAAGTTATAGCAAAGAAGCTCTCAGTAAACGTGTGTGGAATGTTGTTCAATGAAGATTTTTATTACATCTAACTGTAAGTAGTGATGACATTACTAGTTATACTGAAAGAATTTTCACAATGACAGGTCTGTTTTGTAATCTGTATTTTAATCATTTCTCAGAATCCAGAAGGCAAATGAGACGTCATCCCCTCCCACTACTTCTGCAGCCATTCCTTCAGTAGTTCCCCAAGCCCAGCATGTGGTGGCCAAGCCCAGGGTGTCAACCATCCAGCAGGTAAAAGAGTCTAATTGAAGCCCAAGTGCCATGGGCTGTGACAGGCACTGTGACTGTGACCATCTTAAATGGCAGGATTATTTTCCTCTGTTGCAATTTCATGATGATCTCAGGTAACATCCTTCCATGATCATGCTGACCACTCTGTGCTTCTGATGTGTGACACCAGTGCTTCATTTTGCTTTGGGAACATAATCTCTAGCTTCATAAGAACATTTCACAGGAAAAGATAGTCTTTACAAATTAGTCCATCTTTATGAAGGGCATTAATTATATATATATAAAATGAGCTGCCAGCTCTCACTGGCCCAGACAGGACACTCTGTATCATGAAATTCAATTTCACGGAGCTGCAAATAATTCTACTTTCCAAGATAGAGCAGCCATGAAATTATTTTTTAGAAAACATTAAAGTCTCCCATGGTTCAAGTTAATGATGATTATGAGGATGATGATACATGCTTATTGCAAAACACTCAAAAAACACAGAAGTATATTAAGAAAAAACTTCGGTCAAGGTTCCACTCCCATGTCCCCACTTCTCAGAGGTACCTCCATTAATAGTTTCTAGAAGATGTTTCCAGATATTTTCTATGACTATATATATGAATACGTATGTATGCATATATGTTTTCAAGTATGAAATCATACTAACCTAAACCCATATTTATTATGTGTTATTGATTATTTATTTATGTTAAGTAAATATATTGATCTATAACCTTTAAAATTCTAGAGAGTTACTTGTTTAACCCATTTAGTAATGCAGAGGGGCCACATTTTAGTTCTTATCCAGTAGTTTTCAAACTGTGATCTGTGGAGCCTCGGGAGTTCCATGGAACTTCTTCACAGGTTTGATATTAATTACAAAGGTCTATATGTGGGGTGCGAGGTGGGTGGCACATATTTATAGCCACTATGACCTAGAAAGAAATACAATCAATTCAACATAAAATCTTAAGTCTGGGATGCATAGACTTAAAAAATGACAGTCTTTTGATTTTAGATTAATTTCATATTCTGTATAATGCCAAATTCTGTAGATTTGCTTAGTCTATTTAATAATCCTAGTGACAATGAAGATTGTCTGTTGGTTCCTTTCTAACAGTGTCAGAGCCCCACCAACTATTTGCAAGGATTGGATGGAAAACCTATCATTGCAGCTCCTGTTTTTACAAAGGTAATCAAATTATAACTTCCTTCTGTCTGGCTTTAAACACACCACAATACCCACACAAAACTGTGCGTTTACTGATTTTTATCTCAGGGTTTTGGTCTCTTATAAGCACACAATTGAGTCTGGGGGTTTTTTGGTGGTTAACATGTCACTTCAAGTCCCACTTCAAACTAACAGTTTGTGTAATGAGAGACATGTCTTTCCCACTCACTACATTGACCTCTGCAACCATCCTATTGCTGTGAAACAAGGCTTGAGATAAAGCCTCATCCTAGGACAAAGAGCTTTCTTTTCCTATTCCATGGTATCAAGTATTGTAGTGGCATCAAATTCTGAGTTTTATAGTCTTTGTATTTAGAACTGGAAAACACTCAGGCACTCTTGTTTACAAATGAGAAAAACAAGGGAGGGCCTGAGAGATTAAGCAATTTATCCAGCTTCACAGAACTAGGCTGTGACAGAATCAGGATCAGAAACAAGCTCTTCCAATCCTCATCTATTATTCTTTCCCTTATATAGCATAGCCTTTGTTTATATGTTGCCCAAGACAGTAAATTCAAAGGTGTAAACTGAGTCACAATGGATTTTTTTGTTATTATGTGGACCACGTGGATAGAATCTGTGCTTGGATTTACACTTTATTGTTTGCATGAATGCCAAACTGAGGCCCAAAGAGATTTTTATCCTCTCAGAAGCATGTTTTAGGTTAAGAGCAATGATTCTCAATCAGTGTTAATTTTGCCCCACAAAATGCATTTGGCAATGTCTATGGAACTGTTTGGTTGTCACACCTGGGAGTTTGTGCTGCTGGTGTGCAGAGATGCTGCTAAACATCATCCTACAATGGGTAAAATGAGTGCGCCACACAAAAAGAATTATCCACCCAAATTAGCAATAGTCCTGAGGTTGAGAAGTCATGGGGTAAGGCAAAATGGCAAAAACAGTATCCTAATGGTCCTAAAGGGAGACCTAAATCCATAACTTCCACGGAAACATCAATTTTAGGGAAGTTCCACCATATCAGCTCATTTAAGATGTTTCTCCAATCAAGCAGAGTCTAGAGTAAGACACGTCTATCCATATCCATATCAGCTGGGCAAACATTCTTATGTGAAGCCAGATTTTTCAGGCTCATTTCTTGTAACTTGCTTTCGGAATTTCAGCTTTGCTATTTTCAAAGACTTGAAGTTGGAAAGCAACATGTTGTAACTTGGTGAATACAAGACTTCAATAAGAAATTATAAGTGGATCTTTGTGTTTGCTAATAGAGCTGCATCTAATTGTCTCTTATTTCCCTAAGTCACCTAGCCTTAAAACTGAGTGTAGGTGCCCCTGAAATCAGGACACTTTAATTCTTCATGCCCATTTGTCACACCCTAGACACAGTACTGACTCTTCAAAGGCAACTGAACCACAGAATAATTTATGCCCAGTCCCAACTGAAGTCTCCTCCTCTCTTTTCTTCTTCACCACCCTCTGCCCAGCAGAGAGCAGAGAAGCGACCTTATCTCCTTCCATTCACTTTCAAATCTTCTGAGGTGCTCTTCCCTGCACCCCCATCACCTAGTTCATACCTCTGGTACAACAGTTAGCACAATCATAAACATTTAGCACAATAATAAACTGTTTACTTTTCTGTCCCTCCCAAGCACCTTGAAGGTTATCTCTAATGTCTAGACAGGAGTCCATAATGGTAATAATAGGTCCAAAGCCATTTCTTTTATTCCAAAAAGTCCAATAGGACTCTAACACTTATTATATATATATAATATATATATGTCTTTGATAAGTAAAAATGGGGAAATGAATTGATTACTAGTAACTGATATTCATCATCTTTTGATGGAGTTATATCCCAATAAACATGTAAGTTGAAAATGCATTTAGTACACTTAAACTACCAAACATCACAGCTTAACTTAGCCTACCTTAAACATGCTCAGAACACTTAAATTACCTTACGTTGGGCAAAATCGCCTAACACAAAGCCTGTTTTATAATGGAGTATTGACTATCTCATGTAGTTAATTAAACACCTACTGAAAGTAAAAGACAGAATGGTTGTAAGGGTACAGGATGGTTGTGAGTATATCGGTTGTCAACCCTCCTGATCACATGGTTGACTGGGAGCATGGCTCACTCCTGCTGCCCAGCATCACAGAGAGTATTGTATGCATATCACTAGCCTGGGAAAAGATCAAAAATCAAAAACTACAGTTTCCACTGAGTGTGTATCACTTTTGCACCAGGGTAAAGTGAAAAAATCATGTCCAACTGTCATAAGTTGAGGACCATCTGTATATGTTGTTTGTTAGATGAATCTCCAAAAACATTAGATCCATGGTGGGAAAATGGTCTTTAGTATATAGATCCAATTCTGAGGAGGCTTTCTCAGCCCTCAGGATGTGTGTTTTTGCCACCATAAATGGGATCAGGATTGTTCAGACATAGGTCACCCAGAAAGGCTACAGCTCAGATTCCAGAGGGACTTATCAGCAGTGGTGTGCTTGTGTGAGTTTCCATCAGCGAGGGTAGGACTGAGGTCATTGTCACTACCAGTGTCTTTAGAAAATTTCTGAGTCAGAGCCACTGATGATGGTAATCATGTGGCATGAGCTATGATAACTGATCATTTGCATACGTTTGTTTGGGATATTCCTACTCAATTACTTCTTTAGGGACTTTTGGCATTCCAACCCCTATGACTCACTTGCTATACTGCCCAGCAAAGTTTTTTTGTAGCCAATAATGGCAAGAAGCCATTTTTTTAAAAAGCAATGATTAAAGGGCTTTAACTCCTTATGCTACCTTTGGTAATAGGGAAGTACTGGTATTAACTTCTTAAAGAAGGTTAAAAATGAAAAGAGGGTTGCCTGGCAAAACAGTGGTAGAGTTTGAGAGAAGACTGGGCTCCATATGCTAGTGCACTGCTCTACTTATAGGTAATACCCATGTTTTAAAATATCTTATGGAGAGAGACTATCCTGCATTCTCTATGTGGTATCAAAAACACTTGCACTCTGTTTGCGGGGTTGGGGAAACAGCGCTCACACTCCTTGAGGGCGATGGGAGGTAGATGATCAAATTAGAATCTTACTCCTGTTGCTGCTCCCACCCCACAGCAGCTGCTCTGGCGGGCTTTCAAGGCTGCAGCGGCCCTGGCTCCAGCTGCTTCAGCAGTAATTTGAAGAGTGCAAGGGGGCAGGGGAAGTGCGAATTTGAAGAAGAGCACTTCATTATATAATAGCAGAGGCAGGAAACCCTGAAATAACTGCGCCAGTGGCCGGATCCAGATTTCTGAAGGTTACACGGGGCCCTCTCCCCAACCTGACAACTCCAGAGACTTCTCTGACTCAGGTGTTGCCCTGGGCCCCTGTGACAATCAAGGAGCTAAACGGTCTTCAAGCAAATAGTTCTCTGTTGGTGGACACTGCTCTGGTCTCACTTCAGCCTTCAGCACTATACACAAGCGCTTGCAGCATCTCCCAAGGTGCAAAAACATCAACTGCATTAAAAAAGGAATAAAATGACAATATAAACCCTGTAGCTGACATCTTGTAACTATCAAGGGAGATGCCCTTCTTCAAGGATATTCCTGCATTATATCTGTGGGTATGGATCTACTAAGCAAGAACTGTTTCCTTTTAATTCACATTTATAGTACCTGGCACAGTGCTTGGCACAAAGCAGGCATGTAGTAATATTAATTCTTTGGTGAATAACTTCCTTTCCAGTTAATAAAGAATTGGTGCTTCCATTGCTTTGTGACTTCAGTGTATCTTTAGGAAGAATAGAGAAAAATCCAATATCAAATGGACATGGAAGACATGCTTCTCAAGGATCTTTGTTGCCTAGTCACCCTATTAAGCATGCATTACCACATGACCAGTGTGGTGAAGAAACACAGCACAAATTTGCACTTTGGATACTGTTTACCTCAGGAAGTTGTATTTCTTTGGTAATAGCAACTTTAGTCCAGATCCATAATTCTTAGGTAAGACTGACTTAATCTTTGCCAGCTGGGGAATGTTTCATTTGTCTTAATCATCTTCAGTGAAGTCAAATATGATCAAGTTGAATGGCACATCGTACCATCGGGAACAGCCCAAAACCTGCTGCCGTGTTGAACATGGCACCATCAACATTACGTTCAAATAACGTAACTGGTTTGGAGCCTGATGGGCAGTGATGTGAACCAATTCCTTTTCATAAGGCTTCTGTAGAAAATCACAGTTTTCAGCAATAACTGCTATTATCCTTCCAACTATGACTTTCAACAGCTTTTTGCAAGTGACTTATAAGATGACCCTTGGCACCTCATTTACTGAGTGTTGATGTGTCACACGGGAAGGAGCTCCCAGATTGCATCACAGACACTAAGCATATTCTTTACACTGTAGTTTCTCAGGTAGCTTGGCTGGACTCTCAAATAAAACACAGGTGTTGGCCTTCAATTTCAAGTGAGTAATAACAACCAGCTAATGGTGGATTCAGTTGTGAGCAGCATAGTCTCTCAAAGAGGTCCTTTTGCAAAGAAGGCATTGGTGTAACCTCTACAGATTGAGAATTGGCTCATTTATCTGAACTGAACTGCAAGCCATATCAGAACATCCAGATTAACCTAATTCTGCTTACATCTGTTTTTAAAATGTGCCAATTTCATTTATTCAATCCTTTTTGCCACCACTACCTTTTTTTTTCTTGGTTTGGTTTAGTTTTCTAATTTATTTGCCTCAAGAAAGAAACTCCATTATGTGTAAATCTCAGGGAGATGTCTGACTGCTATTAAAGTTTTCAATAAGCCCCAAATTTGCTATTTTAGCACAGGATTTTCTCAGATGCCAAGATGGAGGGCATATTCACCAACTTGCCTAGAGCACCGAAGACTCACTGATGTTTCCTGCTTACAAAAAACATTCCATTCTTGTCACTAGAAGATTTCGTTTTGCTCAGACCAGGAATAACCAGCTTTGTTTTTGTCTTTGTTTTTTTATTAAATGGTTCCTTATTAATTCAGAAACCATTCTGTGCAAATTCCATCCTGAATTGCATCAGCAAACAAATTTGGGAAGGCAAGAGAACAAAACACTACCCTGGAACTACAGCGCCCCCTGGCTGTCATTATATCAACTTACATACCCGTCTGAGGTAAAAGTCTCCTACCATAGCTAAAAACCTTATGATTATCCCCACCCCAGTATTCCTCAGACAAAGGCCATAAATATGATAGGGCCATGCACAAAATATTGTAAATTTTTCAGACAATAGCTGTGAACAATCAAAAAATATTTATGTGAGTGAATAACAAAAGCAAAACCACTACTGGCTTTTCCCATCTCAGAAACAAGAGCCAGTGTTTCCTAAATGTGGATCCCAACACTGCAGTAAGAGAAAGCCTTGCGACACTAGTAGAGCTTGTGGAGAAAGTTAATCATAACCTTTGGGGGTAAAATTAAAAACAAAAATATGCCCACACACATGCAAAAAAAACATTTCATAATCAAATGAACTAACAATTCCACAAATGAATGTGTGACTTCCATCTCACAAATCACAAGAGAAAGATTAGTTGTGAAAGGAGAATGTCAGTCCTATCCTCCC